CAGGCATAGGATCACTGCACTCATTTGTGAAATATAAAATAACATAATATGAGACTGACACCAAAGGACAGTAGAGACAAGGGCCATGAAGATTTCTCCATGGTTGGAAACCTGCCTCATGAGCTGGGGGAGAAGGCAGCTGGAATAGAGAACGATCACTAAGTCAATGATGGTTGGAGGGATCGATCAGGATAGGAGATGTGTGCTGAAAGTAGATAAAGGACGAAATATGATGGACTCTCAGTATCTGTATTGCAAACCATAATACCCCAAAGTAGAGAGAGAATATGCAGGAAATTGCCATAGAGGCAGGGGGAGGGGTTAGGGGGAGGGATACTGGGGACATTGGTGATAGAGAGTGTGCACTGGTGGAGGGTTGGGTGTTCAATCATTGCATGACTGAAAGTCAAACATGAAAGCTTTGTAGCTATATCTCACAGTGATTCAATAAAAAAAGAATCAGATAAATTTTACTGTTGAAATTGGTCAAATCTATATGACTTAAAACTATAACCAAGAGAATATATTTTATTTCTAGTAGACTCTTTGGTGCTCTTCATGGCTAGGAGTTCCTGAAAATTAAGATTTTCTATATTCCAAGTATTTCTCTTATGATCCCAAATAAGTTTGATCTACCAGATTCCCACCCCTCCTTACTTTAGTTAATTGAATCTACCCTCATCTCTCATTCTGTATTCCAACACATTCACTTGCTACTGTTTACTACTGTGATATCTCTTGTAATTCCAATTTACATATAAAATACTATTTTAATAATTTTTTTCAAATTGTCAAGATACACAATTATAACTATCATTTTTAATTCTCTTTAATTTAGATATTTCAGTCTGCTTGCTTACCTACCCTTAATTTCATTGTTCAATTCCTTTTATGCACAACTAAAGACTAATTATACCATGCAAATTCTTTCTCCCTTGCTTTTAAATTAACATAGTATTGGTTAATAAGACTGCATCATACAATTTTATTCCAGTTTTTCATAGATATTTGTCTTTGGACACAAAGAAGTGAAAAAGAAGATACTGTTATGAGTTGAAATAGAAATTCATATTCCTCTGCATCGACTGACATAATGTGATTTTCATCTTTTCTTGTATTGATGTGGTATACTGATTCACATATGTCAAACTACCCTTACATGCCTGAGATGAATACAACTTGATTGTGGTATATGATCTTTTTGATATACTGTTTCATTTATTTCACTAAGATTGTGTTAAGGATTTTTGCATCAGTGTTCATCAGGGAAATTAGGCTGATATTTTTTTTTCTAGTAGTGTCTCTAGCATCTTTAGGTATTAGTGTAACACTGGCTTCCTAGAAGATGTCAGAAAGGATTAATGGGGAAAGTAATTATACAAACCAATGATAGACCCATAAAATCTGGTACAGCCTTATTTATAGCATAACCAAATAACATTCGACCTAAAGAAGTACTTAGAAGTAGGGATGATCACTACTTTTTAGTTAAGTGGACAATCAATCAAGAAATATCAACTCTTATCAATGTATATGTACCAAAGGTAGGGTCAGCAAGGTTGGCTTTTGTTCATAGACCCAAAGAAAAATATTGGCAGAAAAACAAGAATAGTGGGGGACTTCAACACTCCACTTTTACCATAAGAAAGATCAACCAGACAGACTATCAAAGATACAAAATCTCTGAGTGGGAAATGAGAACTTGGGTGAGTAAACTTATACAGAGCTTTCCATCTCCAAAAGGCTGAATACACAATCTTCTCAAATGCACACAAAATATTCCCCAGGATAGATTACATAGTAGGACTTAGCTCAAACATAAATTTGTAAGTATAAAAATCATACCAAGTATCCTGTTCGACCACAATGCCATGAAGATGGAAATTAGCCAAAAAACGAATGATGTGGAAAAACTCCAACATCTGGAGATGGAACAGGACACTGTTATATAACAGCTGGATCAAGTAGGAAGTCAAGGAAGAAGTAAAAAGATTCCTTGAAACTAATGAGGATGAAGAAGCAAATGATCAGATCTATGGAACATAGCAAAAACTGTACAAGAGGAAAATTCATAGCAGTACAGGACTATTATTATGAAAGAAGAAAAAACTCAGCAACATAAAGACACATCTTAAATACCTGGTGGAGGAACAACAAATGAATCCCTACACTAGCAGAAGGAATGAAATAATAAAAAGTAGACCAGAATTCAATGGTATTGAAATAAAAAAATGCAGTACAAAAAGAATCAATGAAAGTAGGCGCTAGTTCTTCTAAATAATTAACAAGATAAACAAATTATCATTTTTTTAGTTGATTGAATTTCTTTACTGATTACTTAATTGTCATTGCTACTAGAGAAAATGTTTATTTGAGGTCCTTCTTGATCTGAATCTCATGAAGAGAATGTTCGTGAAAAACGGATTAGTTCTTGACGTTCCATTTGCTCTCAGTGAAACAAACATCTCCAGATGCAGCAGTTATGTGTACCTAGGTTGAGAATTCAACATAACCAATGACCAGGCACCTGAGCTGCACAGGAGGAAAAGAGTGGCGTGAAACACCTTCAAGAGCATCGAATAAATAGCTATGAGGATGAAGAACCTCCAGCTCCGGACACATCTCTTCGACTCCACTGTTCTCATTGCACTTATATATGCCTCAGAGACCTAGACCCTACGGAAACAGGATGAGAACACTCTTCAGGTCTCCTCAAGAGGAATCAAAAGAGCTGTGCTTGGAGTATCATGCTTCACTCAAGTGAGAGAAAGAATACAGAGTTCCAACCTCTGTCGATGATCAAAAATCAGGGATGCTGTCTTGTTTGCCAAGGAGTCAAAAATAAGACGGACTGGACACATAATGCAATTTGAAGACGACCACTGGACTAGAGCCGTTACTGACTGGATTACACGAGATGTCAAAAGAACACATGGCCGCCCATCTATGAGATGGACAGACTTCTTCATCAAGACTCTGAACAAATGGTTTGAGGCTCTTTGTGTTCCTGGAGCGAGCAGACGCCACTGGGCTACAGTAGCACAAGACAGGGATGAATGGAGACATTACTGGTGCCCACTTGAGCAAATCGATGAGCAATGGGATGTCATGTGATCAAGTGAGGTCCTTCTTGACCAGCCTTAAGAATTTTGATGAACTTGAAAACTTGTCTGGACTTCTGATCCAACATTCATTCATGATTAAGAAAACAAAGCAAAACGACCAAACCACCCTCAAAGACCAAACATGATAGACTCTCAGTGTCTGTATTGCAAACCGTAATGCCCAAAGTTTGCAATACAGACACTGAGAGTCTATCATGTTTGGCCTTTTATCTACTTTCGGCACACATCTCCCATCCCGATCCATCAACCGTCATTGATTAATGATCCCTTCTCTATTCCAGCTGCCTTCCCTCTGCCTCAGTAGCTCATGAGTCAGGCTTCCAACCATGGAGCAACCTTCCTGTCCCTTGTCTCTACTGTCCTTGGGTGTCAGTCTCATATTATGTTATTTTAAAATCCACAAGTGAGTTCAGTCCTTCTGTCTACCCCTCTCTTTCTGACTCATTTCACTTAGCATGATACTCTCCATGACTATCCACTTATAAGCAGATTTCATGACTTCATCTTTCCTAACAGCTGCGTAGTATTCCATTGTATAAATGTACCAAAGTTTCTTTAACCAGTCGTCTGTTCTTGGGCACTCAGGTTGTTTCCAGATTCTGGGTTTGTTTTTTTTTTTTTTTTTTTTTAAGTGGGAGAAACTTTGAAGCTTACGGAAAGACTGTAGAGTCTCAAGGACTGACTGCAAACTCAGCATGCAGGTGACGGGTTCTCAATTGAAATAAGCACTGGGATTAGGTCAAAGAGGAGATATATTTTACAACTTTCCACAAAATAAGGAGTGTCAAGAGTTATAATTATGTGTAGCTTCTGTATAATGCTGATGTTGGAAAAAAATTAAAATACCTGCACAACTGATAGCACAGCGGTAGGGTGTTTACCTTGCAACAGCCTACCCGGCCGACCTGGATTCAATTCCTCTGCTCCTCTCAGAGAGCCCGGCAAGCTACTGAGTGTATCTAACCCAAACAGCAAAGCCTGGCAAGCTACCCATGATGTATTGGATATACCAGACACAGTAACAACAAGTCTCACAATGGAGATATTACTGGGCCCACTCGAGAAAATTGATGAACGGGAAGACAGTGACAGTGACAGTGAATTTTATTGAATAAATTTTGATGGAAGGCAACATGATCTCCAGAAGGATTTTAATATATTTAAGTAAACTTTTTATGAAACATTTCTTCTGTTCTAATTTAAACAGATGAGAGCCCAGTAAAATATGGTGCCTTAAGAACCTCAGAATATATTGATTTCATTTCATTTTTTTTCTTATTTTTCTTATCAGAAAAATTTTCATTTTTTCTTATCAGAACTTTTGTTATAAAACAAGAGTTATAAACTCAGTTTCCAACAATATTCCAAGATTAATGGTTTTAATTCTTAAATATATCTTAAAGGAATAAAATATTAGTTAATTTTAGCAAAAATCAGTACTTTAGACTGTAACAGTTAACAGAAAGTTTGCTACTCATTTCACTGACTATTTAAATACTAAACAATCTCAGTATCTCTTTGTCCTGAAAACTTAACTGTCAGTGTTACCTTATATTTTTTTACATGGAAAAGATTCTAATACTGTATCTATTTTTATTCTCAAAAAATTTTAAATATTTTGTCATTTGACCAGGAAATGTGGGCTGAAGCTATGGTAAGCAGATAAAGCACTTCCCTTGCATGCAGCTGACCCACGTTCTATCCCTAGTGTCCCATGTGTTCCCCCAAGCCTGCCAGGAGTGATTCCTGAGTGTGGAGCCAGAAGTAACCTCTGAGCACTGCCTGATGTGGCTCAAAATTAAAAAAAAAAAAAAAGATACTATTATAAATTTCATGAGTTTTCTTCCTTTCTTCCTTTTTCTTTCTTTACAAAAGGTGCATTGCCATTTGTTCCCTTGGGGTCTGGATATGTGAAGAACTCGCACAGTGTACAAGCCATCCGCAGATGAAAGAAGCTGTCAATGTAATAGGTGTCACTTTGAAGGTATTACCAATTCATATAGTTTATTTGACATTAAGTTATATCTTAATATTCAACCAATTAAGTTTGAATTTGACATCCTGTTCAGCCCATATTATAAAGCTGCTATGATTCAAAAGTTCTTGTTCAAAGAGTTGGGGTAAGCACCCATTGATGCTCCCCAGGAAAGGCCACTACAGCAGTCAGGCTGTCCACCGCCTGAGCACTGCCAGACCGTCAATAAGCCACAGGGAGTCCTGATGACTGGGCAGCTCCTATAGTGGGCAGGGTACCTGTGCCCTGCTGTCAGGAGTCGTAACCTGGCCTCTTTGATGAGACCGGGAGAGGCCTGACAAATCCTGGTTATCAGCCTTGAGTGCTCACCTCCTAGCTAACCCTTTGGCACTTTTAGAGCATCTTTTCCCCTGTGTTAGAGGACGTACTGCTGTTTACTTAGTAATCATGCTGGGCCACAGTTTGGGTAGCTTCTGAATACTTCGGCTGCCTTTCATGACAATTCTGCACAGTCAATGTTACATTCTTTAATTTCACACTTGTGGAGAGTCAGGAATGAGTCATGGCCAGTTACACAGTATAAGTACAGTATCAGTTCCCTCACTTAGGCTGCCAACAGTAAAATCCCCTCATGTAAACTGTACTGGTATATGCTGTGAAGGAACCATCCTTGTGAGTAAATTTATGTGGTGGTGAAGACAAAACTGAACTTTTGTGTGTGTTGTTGGGCCACCTCCTAATCCAGCACAGATTCCGCTGGGTCCTTTATCCAGCTGCTGCTTAGGAGAGGTGATGAATGCTTAGTATCGCTATTTTTCCACCTCTGCTGAGCGTCGTAGAAGTTCTTTGTTTCACGGTAAGTGTGCGATTTTATAAGGGAGGCACTAAGGTAAAGGAACATTAAGAAATGCGCCCAGGGCTATAGAGTGGTGGCCTGGGCTCACCCAGAACCTGCCTCAGCAGCTGCTCTGCGGGTCTTCGCTGCTCTGATATTCACAGCAGCGGGAGTGGGGGCTGAAGACGGTCACTGCCCGCCCAATGACAGCCCTGGGCACTGAAGCACCAGCCCTGGGTGAGGGACAGGTCCTTGGATCCAGGCTGCAGGCTCTGTGCGACCCAACCCTGCCTGTCTTGCAGCCTGCCCTCTCGCCACCTCCCACGTCAAGTCCCCGCCTCGCCACACGGGCAGGTCCTGCCCTTCCAGTGCACTCCGCCAGTCCCCCTCAGGAGCCTCTTCCTTCTCTTCATTGCTCAGGGGCTTCTTTGCTCTGCTTCCCTTCAGAGAATAGAAAACAGCTTGCTGAGTAGCCTTAGGTCAAGTAATAGAAAACTGAGGGAAGCAAAGTCTCCCTGGGCAGTGTTCAGGCCCAGGTGGAGCGCCAACCTGCCGCTGCTGCCGTGTGTAGCTTCCTGGCCACACGGTGAGGTCAGGGCTTCGCTCACCTCAGAGAGCAGGAACATGAGCTGACTGGGAATGAAGGAGCTTTTGATTTTTGCGTTGGGTGACGCCTGGCAGTACTCAGAGCTTCCCTCGGCGTTGTGCTCAGGGACCACTCCTGGTGAGGTGGGGGCATCATTTGTGTTGTTGCAAATTGGACACAGGTTAACCTTGTGTTAACCAGGCACCCTAACCACTGCTCTATCTCTCTGAGCCCAGGAGCTCAAAAGGGTGAAAGTCAGGACCTGTTTGTTCCTAGGCCTGAACTTTTGTACAGCTGTGGTATGGAAGACGCTCCTCCTGCCTTATTAAATCAAAAATAGTTAACTGTAAGTCTTGTCTCAATGTAGAATCCATTTTATTTTTATTTTTAATGCCCTTTTTCTCAATTTTAAGATTTTTGTCAATTTTTTTTTTATTAATCTCAAAATGTCTATTTAATGTGCTTTGGTTCTCCCACCTTACCCCTTTTACTTGCACAGCTTTGTAAGGCCCTGTCTCACAATGATTCAATAAAAAAATTTTTTTAAAAACTATATCTTAATGTTGACTTAGACTGCAAGATATAGAGATCTAAATGTAGAATAGGAAAAAAAAAGATGAAAGTTGGTGAGTAGAGTATAAATGGGGTACATCTTCTGTTTCTAAACACTTGGAAATTTCCCGTAGTATTTGTGAGGGAAGCCAGGAGGCAGTCTGCGGGGATGCCCCAGCAGAGTGTCAAGGCAGCCCACTGTAGCCTCACCCTACTACTCTCCCTGTGGCAGATCGGAAAGAAAAGGGGCCAAGGTGGGCTGCAGAAGGTGCTCATCTTGAGTTGCTAGAAAGTCAGGGCACTTAAGATCGGCCAATTTCCTTCCTTTCATCTTTGTAAATAAAAGAAGCACCCCTTGGCATGGGCCTGTCTCGGGGACAGTTCACTGACACTGCGTTACTGGGCCTGCTGGATCCTTTCTATAGTGCATCCACCTACGAGAACCATGAGAGAAAGAGCGAGTCACCACAGGAGCGAGAAATCACAGCCGCTTTGAGAAGAGGGCCTCAGGGACCTGGGGCTCGGCAGGAATGGTGAAAACAGAGAAGAAAGAAAACAGATGGAGTGCCCGACTGCCCCGCCATGTGGGGGATGGGGAGCAGGAGGTCTAGAAGAGCCTACCTCCTGGACCCCAGTTCCACGCGTCTGCTGTCACCTGTCCTTAGAACATCTAAGTAGCTGGCCAGGCTGTATCAGATTCAGGAGGAAGGAAAGAAGTTACCTCAGGGGCTATTAAGGAAATTGCTGGGGTCCACAGCACTGCCTAGAAACAGTATGAAGACAGAACTCCACTGCTGCTGTGGCAGAGGGACAGTGAGTGTTGAGGGGCGACTGTAAATCCTAGCTGGCACCCCACTGAGGAAGACGTGGTTTAGGGGCATGAGTAGCTTTATGTCGTTGGCCTCAGGTGACCCATGGGGTTCTCACTCCCAAGCAGTCCTGCACCCACCCCTTTTTAGCCCTTCCAGGAGAAATCACTGACATCCTCCGTCTTCTTACTGTGACCGGTCCTGGTCACAGGAGTTGGAGTGGTCCATCCCACTGTGGCCCAGCCCAGCCCTCCTCAAACTGAGCTCCTGAGCCAGTTCCAGAGCCTCCTGGCACCCCCTCCGCTGCCCGCAGCTGGTCCCCACCCACTTGTCTTCTCTACTCAGTCTCCACACACCCAAACACGTAACGCAGTATTACCAGCACAGTAGTCAAGGATATGTTTTGTTAGGCACATGCTTGCCCCATGTGACAGTTTGTTCCTTCAGAAGAGGAACTGCATATACATGACCTGTCATCCTGCGTTCTGTGCTTCTAATTCACTGCGGGCACATTCTTAGTACTCCATGAGCAAGTGCTCTACGAGTCAATCAGTGAGTGAGCAACTTACTTCAGCCCCACCATTCCCCACCACATGATGTGCGTGAGTAGCCTTCCCTGCCTCTGCCTCTCTCCCGCTGCCCACTGGCTGAGAAAACACTGACTCCTGGTTTCTTCCAAGCTCAGCTCAGTTTTCCCTCCCTCTACCATGTTTTTTTAATCTGTCCCACTCTCTCATACCTCTCCCCTTTCTCTCCATAATTGTTCTGTCTCTTGTCTGTTTATCTTTTTTTTTTTTTTTTTTTTTTTTTTTTTTTTTTTTTTTTATAATTTATTTATTTATTGAATCACTGTGGGAGAAGTTACAGAGCTTTCGGGTTTAGGTCTCAGTCATGTAGATACCGAACACATTTCCCTTTACCAATACTCATTTTTAACCCCGAACCCCAATAGACCCCCACCTCCCACCCCTCCCAATTCTTATTAGGCAGATGAGTTCTAGTTAATACTCTATCTACTTTGACTAGATAGATTATTTCGATAGAAGATGCACAATTATTGTTTAGAGTTTACGACCCCCCCCCCCCCCATCAGACATGCTGAAACAGCGTTGTGAAATGATTTGCTTTCTACAACTTGGTTTAAGAATAAAATGATGTCGCGCGGCCGCAATAGCGGCCGCGCGGTTTTGAATTTCTGCTATTTTACTTATTGACCCTGGAAGAATTTCTATTAAAAGTTAGCTAGTTAAGAGATTGATTTCTGTGCCCTGGAGTCGTGGCCTTGCCGGAGAGCAGCTCGTGGGGGGCAGCTGGCGACCTCGGTGGGGCGTGGGGGACGGCCCACAAAGCCCCCCTTCCCATGAGGTCCCCGCCGCTTCCCCGAGCCCGGCTCAAACCCGCTTTCCACAAGGCTCCCGTGCGGCCGCCATCTTTCTTTCCAGAGAGGAGCGGGCGGGCCGGTCAACGCCCTTCCCCCTCCGGGAAGGCTTGGTGGCGCGGGTCAACACAAGTCCATTTGCTCTTGTCTGTTTATCTACAGGTATCCCTAGACAGGAATACGGCGGGACCAGTCACAACTTTCTACTCTGTAGACTGAGGCCTGTGTAGTACATTAGGCTCAGGTTCTAGTTAGAGAGAGAAGCACGGGGCCTTTATCCTTCCCCATGCCGCTAGTTCTAGAAGAAGGATCCACTCTGACACGACCCCTCAACTTCACCAAAAAGCAAAGCATCCAGAGGACTCAGAGTGGGCCTGTGTTCAAAAACATACTCAGGAATTGAATATATTATAACTTGTGAATTATCTCTCTTACATGTGGATTTGTTTCTAGAGAATAAAAAGTCTTTGATCAATCCCACCTATTTTCTACCTGTAAAATGAAGATCCATCTGCTGGGAAGAGATGTTAATGAAGATCTATCAAAATTATGTGGGCTGAATAGGCTTTTAGAAATATTTATTTCCAAATGACTGAACGATGGCTACTAAGAATGTTATGTAGATTAATCCAGTTAGTCTAGACAGAAGGCAGTTAAGAGTGAATGATCATGTTTTAAACTATCTAGTAATGGGACATATTTTCATCAATTTAATTCAAATCAAATCAGTATATCCCTATTAAAAAGAATTCCAATCAAATCAATATATCCCTATTAAAAAGAATTAATTGTTCTTTCTTTGGAATCATCATGTTAGGTTATTTAGTGTGTATTTTGTTTTCTTTTATAGTTTCCTAACAAAATTGTGGCTCAGGTAGCTTGTGATGTTCTTCAATTACTGGTTTCTTTCTGGGAAAAGCTTCAAACATTTGAAACCTCACTGCCTCAGAAAATTGCAGAAGTAAGTCTTTTTTCTTGTAATGCTAAAACATAGTAATTTCCTTTGTATTTTATTTGGTATTTAAATTCAGATATTCAAGTCATTGTTAGAAAATCAATTGTTAAATTGCTATAAGTCGTTGTTTTATTTTTTAATTTACTTCTTGTGGGTGGGAGGGATTAGGCCACATTCAGCATTGCTCAGAAATTACTTCTGGATCTATGACCCGGGATCACTCTTGGTGTCGCTCGGGGGACGCTAGAATGTGCCAGGGATAGAACTAGGGTTAAACATTTACAAGGCAAAAAGCCTTAACACCTGTCTCATCTCTTTAACCCCATGAAACATTCATTTTAAAGTTAAATTACACTGGATCTTCTGTGATCTCAGGCACTAAGCAAAGAAGCCTACCAGTGGGGCCAGAGTGATAGCACAGCGGGTAGGGCCTTTGCCTTGTAGCGGCACCTAAGTTTGATCCCTGGCGTCCTATATGGTCCCCCAAGCGTCGCCAGGAGTAATTTCTGAGTGCAGAGCTAGGAGTAACCCCTATAACCCCTGAGCATCGCTGAGTGTGACCACGCCCCCCCCCCCAAAATAAAGAGGCTACCAGTATTCCAGGGCAGTCTTAATCTTGGATAGTTGGAAATGCAGACAACAAAGAGGCCTTTTGTTGACAGACTTTATCCATAGTTATTTGGTTGTTGCCACAGGAGGAGGCAGCTGGCTGTGATACCTTCTTCACAGGGTTGGCAGGGGAGACATAAAATCTCCCAGACTGAAGCTTCAGAACACATTTTTTGCAAGCACAATTACCCAGTAATGAGATTCATACTATAACACATTCTGTGGTGTGATTGGTAGGAGAGAGGGACAGAAAGAAAAGGACAAATCATCACAATGATAATATCCTGTAAATTAGTGACATTTGGGGATGTTTATTTTTACAGGAGTGGGTGCCCTCACCCACAGAGATGTCTGGGGGTAAGGCACAATCTTTCTTGCCAGTTTTTATAGCTATACTTTAAACACATATTCTGTTCTTTACACATTCTGTAGTAAGTCCGCAAAGAAATTTGATTTGTCTTTGTCTATAGTGCTATTGATTTATTTTCTATTGATTTATTTTCTCTTAGCCCTGGACAAAGTTCACTAGTAACATCACTTTGTTTTCTTAAAATACATAAAAAAACCAGTTATTTTTCACCTTAAGAGGCCTAGAATAAAATTGAGTTTTGTTATATAAGAAATTCTATAAAATATTAAGTTGGGCTTTTGGTCATTCACATAATTTATATTCTAAACAGGAAATCCTTTGCAGAAAGGGTGCTCTTATACCAGGCCCACTGGCTCAGATTCGGGCTATTTTGTAAGGAAATTAAATGAGAGCATATTTATAGTTTTATATATATATATATATATATATATATATATATTGCTTTGGGGACCATACTCAGTGACTGCTCCTAGCTCTGTGCTCACGGAATCACTTTGTACTAAGGATACAGCCCAGGGCTCCCACAAGCAGAGCATATATTCCCACTCTTTGAGCCATCTTCTTGGCTTAGTGGTAATAATTTTTCAGAATGACTTTTTTATTGTGTGTTGGATACATTGAGTTCAGTCCCCAGCACTGCATGATATCTCCAGGTCAGCCCTGATGGCCCCATAGCATAGCTGGACCCAAGCCCTGTCGGGCCTACACTACCAAATGAATCAAGAATGATAATGCTATATTACATCATTGCGATGGAGACCGATCATGAAAATTTTATGACTAAAAATATAACTTTTCCCTTCTCTGAGGCCCCCAGTTTTGCTCCCAATTGATTAGAGTACAAACTGGGCATGGTCCTATTGCTTTCTGCCACTTTCCAGGATTGCGCAGATCCCAAACTGACTCTGTATTTTATCACCTTCCCTTAGTAAGTGGCACAACGCTAGGTTTACTAGGAAGGCCTTATGGGATTCTTCCTCAAATGTATTCCAAAACTCTGGCCTTTTTAAAAATTGAGACATAGTTTCATCTATATAACATATTAGTTAAATATTTGAACATTTTGTGAAATTTGAGCCATCATCTAACATATAACATTTTCTATACCTTACATTGACTTTGAAGACACATTCTAGGGGCCAGAGAGATAGTTCACAGGTAAGGCACTTTCCTTGCACATAGCTGACCCAGATTTGACCTCAGCATCCCTGAACACCATCAGGAATGATTCCTGATTGTAATCCTTGAGTATTGCCAGGTGTGACCCTAAAATAAAATAGAGAAAAAAGATATACTCTAGTTGCAACTTTCAAAGATGTACCATCTATTTTGTTACCTGCAGTTGTCATGTTTACATAATACCCCTAGAAGTTGTGCATTTTGACACCCTTACCCATTTTACATTTTGACACCCTTACCCATTTTACATATTGACACCCTTACCCAGGTTACAGTCACTCCCGGTGACTGGTTGTCTGTTCTCTGTGTCTGTCAACTTGGTTTTGATATTTTAGGGGTTTTGTTTGTTTTAAGACCCTACATACATATAGATGAGTTCATATGGCTTTTGTTTTTCTTTGACTGACTAAAGTGAAATGGCTTTAACATAGTCCCCTCAGGTTCCATACATGTTATCACAAATAGCACAATTTTGTTATTTTGTCTGGCTAAATACTGTTGAACATCTTTTCATGTACATGGTGACATCTTTAGGTCTTCTTTGGAAAAATATCTAGTCACATTCTGTTCATTGTTCAGATTGTTCCGTTTTTCCCTTTGTGTTCTTTATGTATTTTGGATATTAACCTATTACTATTGTCTGTTTCATTGCAAATTTATCTTTTATACAGATCCTAGTGGCTACAATTGCTTTTCTTTTACCAAGTGCAGAGTACTCTTCAGTGGAAACAGATAAAAAGGTAGGTTACACATTGGCACATTTTTCTTGAATTTTCAAGAATATAAGTCTAAGTGATAAATAATATCATACATAGGCATATCTTATGTAGTATGCTTCTGCATTGGTGCCATGTTCTTCTGTAAGACCCCGTCTAATTCATCTTCTATTTGTGTCTCTATTGAATTATTGTTAGGAAGTGATAATTCTGTTGTTTGTGATTCTGTGTAGTAGAATTTGAAAGACTGCATTCTGAGGTGCTGAGATGTTTGCTTTTCCAGTTTATTGTGTCCTTGCTCCTCTGCCTTTTGGACTGGTGCATGGCTTTGCCGGTGAATGCCCTGCTTCACCCAGTATCCACAGCGGCCCTGGAGGAACAACATGTGTCCAGAGCCCCGTTGCTGGATTATATCTACAGGGTGAGTCTCAGACATAAATGTGGAGACTTATTATTAAGACTTAAGCTTTCAAGAATGATAAAAGGATGTTTTATGCAATTTCTTACTTATCTGTTCAATTTTGAAAAGGTTTTGTGGTGGATTAAAGAGCCTAAAGAAAAGAATAACTGAAGGAATGATAACAGAATAGATATAATTGTCAGGGAGTAATGGTTACCTAATTAAAACTGAATTTATTAGGCAGAGTGGTATTACAGTGGGTAGGGTGCTTGTCTTGCACATCCATGACTAACTTGGATTCAGTCCTCAGCTTCCCATATGTGTCCTTCTGAGGACTACCTGGGGTAATTCTTGAGTGCAGAGCCAGAACTTACCTCTGAGCACCACCAGTTATGGCTTAGAACAACAACCAAAAAAACCCTGATTTTTTTTTTTAATATGGTTGTCGGCTTTAATCAACAGTTAATTAAAGTTCCCAATTTTTTATGTAACATGGTCTACATCCACTTAATTTTAAGCAATCTGTTTATAGTGTTGGAATATCCACAGCCTTAGTTTGACAGAATATATTTATCAAAGGAGAAGTTGGGGCTGGAGAGGTAGTATAGCAAGTAGGGCACTTGCATTGCACCCAGATGACCAAGGTTTAGTCACCAGCACCCCATATGGTCCCCCTATCCCACCGCAAGTGATTCCAGAGCTCAGAGTCAGGAGTAAGCACTGGATACCATGGATATGGCCCCAGTCAAAGGAAGAAAAATTATATCCCCAGTAATCTCTTTACTCTAAAAGATCTTAAGAAATACATTTAGAGGACTAAGGACATAGTCAAAAGGAGTTTCTGGCTCAGATGCACAGAGTTCCAAACTTGAGTGCCATCATCCCCTGCACCACATGGCCTAATCCCCACCTGCCCCCAGTATCACCAGCCAGACCCAAGCACTGGGCCATCAGGCCTGTTTGACTGGGTGGGACCGATATGAGTACTAAATACCTGAGGAAGGACGCCTAGGCCCCCACATCTGTTGTGGAGGTCCCTATTTTTGAAAGAGAAATCAAAGAAAATGAATCAAATCAAAGAAATTCATCTTCTCACTTGAGTGAGGGGAGGTCTTGTTTTGAGGGGCTACCCGTGGCAGTGTTCAGGTATTATTCTCAGTGGACTCCAGAGACCAGATGTGGTGCATGAGAGCAAACCCAGGTCAGCTGTGCACATGGCTGCCCTGCCTACAGGACAACTGCTGCAAGTCATACCGTTTTAGAATATTCATAGTTTATCCTGCACACTTGATATTTAGACTGCATTGTAAAATATAAATTTTTGTGGAATTTAAAAGATTGGAAGATTATTTTTATAATATTATTTACAGATTTAAAAGACAGAGTTACCACAGGTCCGTTGTGGGGGAAAATACTGCATAAAATAACTAATTTTGAGTAAATATTTTACATCAGTAATGAATAAAATAAAATATTCAAATGTTAGTCCCTATAATGATTGATTATGACATTTGTTTTAATCCCTTTCTGATGTCTGATATATTTTTTATATCAAATGCAATGGTCTCTCCCATGGAAACCTTAATTATTGGCTATTTATTTTATCATCCATGTGTTCAGTAAGGGCTGGAGTGATAGCACAGCGGTAGGGCGTTTGCCTTGCGCACAGCCGGCCCAGCTGAGCTGGGTTCGATTCCTCTGCCCCTCTCGGAGAGCCTGGCAAGCTACCGAGAGTATCGAGCCCGCATGGCAAAGCCTGGCAAGCTACCCGTGACGTATTCAATATGCCAAACACAGTAACGAGTCTCACGATGGAGACGTTACTGGGCCCACTAGAGCAAATCGATGAACAACAGGAGCACTGTGCTGTGTTCAGTAATTATGCAGTGACATAAATTAAGTTTTCATTTGTATTTCCTATGTTTATAACTGTCAAGTGATTTTCCTCAATGACAGAAGCTCAATCTGTTTATTAAAAACGCTGTAATAAGAATTTTTCTAGGTAGCTTTTTTCTTTACAGTTAGAAAACAGACATATTTAATTACTGTTTACAGCTGACTACTGTTCTTTGTAGTTTCTAGCCAGGCACAAAGGTTACACACCTCTAAGTCCTCCTTCGGTCCCCAAAATAGAAGACACTGAATTGAGAGACCTCCAGCCTGACCACATGGCCTCTTGTCACATGAGCAGTCAAAGCTAGACAAATGAAAGGGAATTTGCATTGTAGAAGTATATTTTATCAAAGGTGTTTCCTTTATTTCTGAAGTATCACTTTGACTTTTACAAATCATTTTTATTCATGATAAAAATTTAAATATATTGCAATTAGAAATAAATGTATACATCTTTCTATCCTGCTCAAGATGCTATGAGTTTACAAGTTCTGTATGTATATGAGAGCATAGATGACAATAAATAGAGCTTCAGTTAATTGAAATTTGTAAACCCCCAGTGAGCTCTTAGGACACTAATCTTATGAAAATAAGGCTACTTTAAAAATTGGCATTAGATTTACTTTCATTAAACATACTTTAGAAAATAATATTAGGTTAGCCCTGTCAATTAATGGGGTAAGAGCTAAACTAATTCACATTCATGTGTGGTTATGAAGTGTGCTGAGGGCCTCTGCCTACTGCCTTCACTCTGCCTCTGCTGTGGGGCTGGCATTCCAGCCTGTGGCTCATCCTACAGCTAGCCTGTATCTAATTTAGTTCCTTTCATTCATGTTGCCTCTGGAGCACTTGGGCAGCACTTGCTACGTAGAATGGTATAACACAAACACTTTATGTTTACTCTGCTTTTGCCTTAAAGACTACATCACTGTCATTAGTGTAAAGAACAAAGTCAACTCTTAAGAGTAAGAAAGTATTTTAGATCAGATAGGATCTGGTGTTTCAAAGTATTAAGAAGCTGGAATGCTGCTGCTTCCTAAGTGCTGTTGTGGTTTGACAGATTGTCAGGGGTTAAGAGGTTGGTGGCTTCTGTAACACACATTTACTTCTGATTTTTTACAGGTTCTGCACTGCTGTGTTTGTGGCTCAAGCACATATACCCAACAGAGCCACTACACACTTACCCTGGCTGACCTGTCGTCCACTGATTATGACCCCTTCCTGCCACTGGCAAATGTGAAGAATTCTGAGCCAGTCCAGCATCATTCATCAGCAGAACTGGGCAACCTGCTTACTGTTGAAGAGGGTGAGAGTTTTCTGAATGTTCATTTTTGCGGCAGAGAAAGGAAGACTTTAATCATTTGCCCATGTTTGGTTTTTGATATCCTGATTTCTGCAATCCTCTGTGATAGTAAACTCTGCTTTTCATTTTCTTCATATTTACCTCTTTCTTTTCTTCCCCTATTTTTTCAATTTTAGTTTAATTTTGTTTTATTGAGGACCTATATTTCTTGGACCCGTGATACCTGTTTCTCTCCAAAGAGATTTATATCTAATGGGAGAAAGAATGAATACAGACAGTATTACTTCTGTAAAGCAAAAGTAGAGAGATGGAAATTTAATGTCAATAATATTAGGATTGCACTGCTGATTTTAAAAGGCCTATTTGGGGGGTATGTGAGTATTAGGACTTAGAATCTCTGCAATATGTTATCCTCAACCACCTTTCTACTGACAAATGATAAGAACCCTTCTCTGGTTAAGCCCTTAGAATGTGAACTCAAATGTGGGTATGATAAGACTGCAGAAAAACCACGGACACATATATATAATTCATAAAAGTATATATAAACTAGTAAACTCTGAATATTGATGAATTATCAGTGTCAGGGATGGAGCGATAGCACAGCGGGTAGGGCGTTCGCCTTACAAGCGGCCAACATGGCCGACCCGAGTTCGAGTCCTCCGCCCCTCTCGGAGAGCCCGGCAAGCTACCGAGAGTATTCGCTATGCCAGACACAGTAACAACAAAGTCTCCAATGGAGACGTTACTGGGCCCGCTCGAGCAAATCGACGATCAACGGGAGGGCCTTTACCTTTTACCTTTATCAATGTCAGATTTCTGATTGTGATATTGTACTATAGTTATGCAAAAATGTTACCATTTGTGTCAAAGAAACTTAGATTCTGAGCCAGAATGATAAGTATAGCCAGTAAGGCACTTTCCTTGCATGCAGCTAACCCGCATTCAATCCCTGGCATCTCATATGGTCCCCAAAGCCCACTGGGAGTAATTCCTGTGTCCAGAGCCAGGAGTAAAACCCTGAGCTCTACTGGGTATAGCCCAAAAACAAAAATAAAAAAGTTTTTTAAAAGGTGGATGTGGGGGGTATGGTGCCACCAGCAGGTCAACATGACCTTGCAGGGCAAGTGCATCAGCAGCCTGATGATACCTTCAGACTTCCAGATATCCCAAAATTGCTGCTGTGGCTTTAGCCAGACCCCAACAACTTGGGACCAAGCTTACCAAAAAATTAAGTGGCCTAAAGTTGGGTATGTGGGAGCCACACCCACAAACCAACTCCGACTCAGCTATATAAGCTCATTTATTGGCTTTATTTCAGAGACCCATAAATCTCAAGAGATCAAAAGACACAGTTAGGGCCATTACCTGAGATCTCCAAGTCCACTTAGATCAAAACCGGACATCCTCCCCTCAGGTCCCCAGTTTTCCAGTAACTTGGCTGCCACACCCACAAACTGCCCGGCGCCATGTAATCTCATCAACAGCCAAGACCCAGAGACTGTAAACTAAAGCTTCTGGAAGAGAATGACACGGAATTACCTGGACATTATATTTTATCCATAACAAGCAATACAAAACAAATCATCTAGCATTGCCTTTTCAGCAGGTTTGAGTGATGGAGGGACTGGTGTCAAAATATTAAATGAAACCAAAGTAGAGAGAGAGTATGGGGAAAATTGCCACACAGGCAGGGGGAGGGTTGGAGTGGGGGGGAAGGGGGAATTGGATGGTGAAAAATGTGCACTGGTGAAGGGATGGGTGTTTGATGATTGTATGACCTAAGCACAAACATGAAAGCTTTGTACCTATCTCATGGTGAATCAATAAAAAGGGGGGAAATAACAATAATAAAATAGTAAAATAAAATTAACTTTCTGAATAAAAAAATAAGTAGATGTGTAAAGTTAGATCATCTACGAAAATTTTACGAACTTTGCAAGAGAAAACAGCAACCCATGAATGGAAACTTGAGGTTATAAACATCCTTACAGAGGATCAGAGAGCGTCACCAGAAAAGCAGCATTCAGGAATTTGAGGAATTTCTAGGAATTTAATGAAGAAAAACATTCTAAGTCCGTAACATCAGCCATGCCAGTCACCTGCAGGAGCCCTGGGAGTGTGAGACTGAAATGGATCATTTTCTTTTCCTTCAACTCTTTTGGTGCTGGGTTATCTTTAGACGTATAGTCTGAGCAGGTAGTTGGGGATGAGCACTTAGAACCTGCGGCAAATTCTCTTGTGTGTCTTTGGTGAGCAAAGAAAGAAGAAAGCAGGCATCAGTGCGTAAGAGTAATAAGATTCCAAATCATGCTTATAAAATGGCATTCTGGGGTAGATTTCACTCTGAGAAGAAGGAAACTATGAGGATAAAGTTGTCAGACAGAGAATAGTCAGAGGACAGGCCTCTGAATCACCCAGTCCTTTTTTTTAACTTCGTCATAAGACAGTGAACTCAGGTGACGGGAATTTCCCCAAGGGTCCAAGACAGAATTATTTAGGTAACATTTAAATTTACGATTCAATAGTCCTAAAATATGAAATTTCAATCATCTCATATTTTATCATAAAATGGACCAAAGACTCACATTGTGAGTTGTATTGCTGGTGAAATGCATGTGAATGCTTTCCTATCAGTATCATGCAAGAAAAGTGAGTTAACTCTTCCTGAAGTCATTAATTTATATTTATCCCACCTTGCTGTCCCAAAAATTAGTTCACCATTCACAGTAATTTTTCACTTAAAAATAGCAGAAGATCATTAGTTTAGTTTGTACATATTGGCCCTCCCGTTGTTCATCGATTTGCTCGAGCGGGTCCAGTAACGTCTCCATTGGAGACTTTGTTGTTACTGTGTCTGGCATATCGAAAATTAGTTTACTTAAAAAAAAAAAAAGGTAACCCTAAAAGTGCACATTTAAATTTTGGTACCTCGTTCCTTTCCGTTTTTGACTTGAATATTTGTTCTCTAGAAGCTCAGGATCATACTCAAGCTTACATGAAATTAAAAATAATTATATAAACTTCTGTGGGAAAGAAGTTTTAAAATTGATTAATGGTTGACTAAATTTTTAAAAAGCAAAATGGGGAAATAGCATAGGTGGTGAGGCGTTTGCCCTGCTTGGGGCTGACCAGGCGCTCTGCAGGCACTGTGGGAGTGCTCCCTGAGCACCAGTGGGGGTGCTCCCACGTCAATACCCTCTTGCGGAAATGAATAAAAAGCAAGGAAACTTGGAAACATGTCGATATGCATAGTCTCTCACCGAGCGCGGTTCTTGCTGTTTTGAGTGAAGAGTGAAAAGGAAAATGATTGTCTTTTCTCCTTTCCTCTCGCCCTGTCTGAGAGTCTGGTGCAGGTCTCATGTGCTCACTCCAGACCCCTGGGCCGCATCCCCACCCCCAGCGATATTAACTTAGGCATTTTCCGTTAAAATATTCTCATATTCAAGAGGTTTTTGGGTTTTGTTTTTTCTTTTATGTTTTCAATACAATGACATAGTCATTAGTTGACAAGCTATTCCTGCTTGGAAAGTATTTCTCATAAACAGTATTTTTCTTTTTAATTTTTATTAGTGAAACACCATGAGGTACCATGAGGTAAGAAGCATCTATAATTGCAGAAAAAAATAGTATGGACCCAATAGAGAAGGCATTCATAGCTCTAATTTCAAGGAAATTAGTTGAGGTATTTGGAATTCTCAGCTTTGGGAAATCATACCTCCACAATGGCCAGAAGAAGAGTTAATTTTGAGAAAAATGTAGATGATGTCCTTTACTTCTGAAAAGTGAGATTTTTATTTTATTTTTTTTTATTTATTTATTGAATCACTGTGGGAAAGGTTACAAAGCTTTCAGGTTTAGATCTCAGTTATGCAAATATCAAACACATTTCCCTTTACCAATACTTATTTTTTACCATGAAGAACCCCAATAAAACCCAACCCCCCACCCCTCCCAGTCCCTGTGAGGCAAATGAATTCTAGTTAACACTCTATCTGCTTTGATGAGATTCACTGTTTCAATAAAAGATTCACCACTATTATTTAGAGTTTACCCCCCACCAAATCAGACATGCTGAAAAAGCATTGTGAAGTGATTTGCTTTCTACAGCTGGGTTCAAGAATTAAATGTTGGTTTTGGATTTCTGCTATTTTACCTATTGACCCTGGAAGTATTTCTACTGAAAGTCAGATAGTTAAGAAATTGGTTTCTGTGCTCTGGAGTCGTGGCTGTGCTGGAGAGCCGCTCGTGGGGGGCAACTGGTGGCCTCGGTAGGGCGTGAAGGGCGGACCGGAGCGCCCCCCTTCCCATGAGGTTTTAGTCGCCCCCACACCCCCGGCTCATACCTGCTGTCCACAAGGCTCCCATGCGGCCGCCATCTTTCTTTCCAGAGAGGAGAGGGCGAATGGGGCAACACCCTTTCCCCTCCGGCAGACTTGATGGCCTGGATTAACACATAGTCCGTTCACTTTTCTGCTCCAAGCTGCCGGGTTCTGCATTAAGTCCTTGTGCTTCTGGAGCCGTGGCTGTGCTGGAGAGCCGCTCGCGGGGAGCAACTGGTGACCTTGGTAGGGCGTGAAGGACGGACCGGAACACCCCCCTTCCCATGAGGTTTTCATCGCCCCCACACCCCCGGCTCATACCTGCTGTCCACAAGGCTCCCATGTGGCCACCATCTTTCTTTCCAGAGGGAGGAGGGCAGAAGGGAGCAACACCCTTTCCCCTCCGGGCAGACATGATGGCCTGGATTAACGCATAGTCCTTTCACTTTTCTGCTCCAAGCTGCTGGGTTCTGCATTAAGTCCTTGTGCTTCTGGGGCTGTGGCCGTGCTGGAGAGCTGCTCGTGGGGGGCAACTGGTGACCTCGGTAGGGCGTGAAGGACGGACCGAAACGCCCCCCTTCCCATGAGGTTTTAGTCACCCCCACACCCCCGGCTCATACCTGCTGTCCACAAGGCTCCCATGCGGCCGCCATCTTTCTTTCCAGAGAAGAGAGGGCGAATGGGGCAACACCCTTTCCCCTCCAGACAGACATGATGGCCTGGATTAACGCATAGTCCTTTCACTTTTCTGCTCTAAGCTGCCGGGTTCTGCATTAAGTCCCTGTGCTTCTGGGGCCGTGCCTGTGCTGGAGAGCCGCCCGTGGGGGGCAACTGGTGACCTCGGTAGGGCGTGAAGGACGGACCGGAACACCCCCCTTCCCATGAGGTTTTCGTTGCCCCCACACCCCCGGCTCATACCTGCTGTCCACAAGGCTCCCATATGGCCGCCATCTTGCTTTCCAGAGGGAGAAGGGCGGAAGGGAGCAACACCCTTTCCCCTCCGGCAGACTTGATGGCCTGGATTAAGGCATAGTCCATTCACTTTTCTGCTCCAAGCTGCTGGGTTCTGCATTAAGTCCTTGTGTTTCTGGGGCTGTGGCTGTGCTCCAAACTTAACTCTGATTTTCAGGGAGAAAGGTTGGGTGGTTTATTTCCCATTGATCACTTTGTATATAGAGAGATGTCGCGCGGCTGCATAAGTGGCCGCGTGGTTTTGAGAAAAATTCCTAGTTCCCGCATACTCGAGCTGTGCTTGTAGAGGCTTCTGGTCACCGGGGTTCCATCTGGGGGAGGCGGGATGCGGTACCTACCCCATCTGGGACTTCCCGGAGATCTCTGCTCTTTTTGGAACCTGTTTTTTTTTTTCCCTCTGGGATCTGTGGTTCCCGCCCTCCATGTGGTCCTTCTCTTTGGCTGTATGTTGTAAAGATGGCGCTGGGGGGCGGGCTGTGGGCGTGACTTCCAGAATCAGCGTTTACCTGGGAGGTGTAGTCCCGGCAGATTTGAGAGAAAGTCCTAGTTCCCGCATACTCGAGCTGTGCTTGTAGAGGCTTCTGGTCACTGGGGTTCCATCTGGGGGAGGCGGGATGCGGTACCTACCCCATTTGGGATTTGCTGGTAATCTCGGCTCTTTTTGGAACCTGTTTTTTTTTTTTTTTCCCTTCCGGGATCTGTGGTTGAAAGTGAGATTTTTAAAAATAGAATTTTATTTTGTCTTATTGTATACAGTTGATTTCTTATTTATCAAAACAACAAAATTAAGAAAAACTAAGTTAGAACAGTGTTATTCTTTTTAGCCATTGCACAGAATTCATGTTCTAGGATTCATTACTCTTATCTAGAATTTATAGACCTTAACTTGGTTTTATAAATATGATTTTATAAGTGAGTTGATTGGCTTTGTAATATCAATGGGGGAATGGTTAGCAGGAAAAAATATTAATAGTTGTTTATTAAATACAAAAATTTAGGCCAGAGAGATAGTGCTATCTTATATGCAGTTGAGTATGTTTTATTCCTGGCACCACATCTGGTCCCCTGTGCCACACCAGGTATGAGCACAGAGTCAGGTGTCAACCCTCAGCACTCCAGGTCCCAAAACCAATAACTAGAAAAATACAAAAATATATATATTTATGCTGAAAATTTAGAAATCAGATCTTTCCTAAACTTTCGGTCTAAATTTAAATTATTAGATTATTTAAAAATCTATTGACTTTATTTGGTTAAAATTAGGTTTAATATTCACAACTGGTTTTAGATTAGTGCACAATTATTTTACAGTTTTTCAGATTAAAATTTCCGTAACTCCTCTCAAGTTTAGTCATTTCAGTGTGGGCTTTATGTGTTGTGGATTTATCTGCTTCTTCCTTATAACATTTTACAAGATCGACTTTGACTTGCTACTGTCAAAATCTTTCTATTCATTTGAAGCCTTAAAATGTTACCTATCAGTTGCTCTTGAACACTTATTCATCAACCACAAATTTATTTAAAGCCTTCTATCTGTTCATGAATTATACATATACAAGGTTCTCCTAAATATTTTAAATGCCCTAACAAGAAAACATAGATTGTTAGAATAATTTTTGCATCCGATTGCTTCAGATATATTTAAGTAGTCACAGATTTGATTTCTTTTTTTCTCTGTGCAGTCCGGAGAGAACAGAGTAGCCTTTCAACACCACACCCCGCCAGCACTGCTCTCACAGTGCCATTCTGCAGAGTTAGATTTTTAATCTCTTGAGGACCCCTTCTTGGGGGACAAGGAATCTTCCTCGAGTTATTGCTGTATCTATAGATGTGGTAGCAGTAGTAGTTGTTTGTTTTGAGCCCAAGCATGGCAGTACTCTGGGCTTTCTCTGGGCTCTGAGCTCAGGGAGCACTCCCGGTGGGGATCCAGAGGCCAGATGCAGTGCCAGGGATAGAATGGATTGGCCACGTGAAAGGCAGGCAGCCCACCTCCTTCCCCCCATACTCTCTCTTCCTCTTCTACAGATCTTTTAAATGGTTCTTAAAATTCAAGTGGAATTCATTTTAAATTAGAAAATAAAGGAGAATACCAACAACTACAAAATAAAACCTGGGTACAGATAGAGATCTGCTTGTGTGAGGCTGCATAGCAGTTGTGTAGCGAGCGTACTTAGATCCCGGGCACCCTTTGTCGTCCCCTGCGCCCACCGAGAGTGGTCCCTGAGCACAGAGCCAGGAGTAAACCCTTAGCACCACGGGGGGGGGGGGGGGTGGCCCCAAACTGAGAGTGTCTGTCCACTGCTCTGCCTCTGAGTGTTTCTTGGCTGTTCTTCCAGAGCGGAAGAGAAGGAGCCTGGAGCTCATCCCCCTGACGGCCAGGATGGTGATGGCCCACCTGGTGAACCACCTCGGGCACTTCCCGCTCCGTGGGGGCCCCGCGGTGCTCCACAGCCTGGTCAGTGAGAACCACGACAACGCACACGCGGAGGCCGCGGAGCTCTCCTCGGAGGTGTTCCGCAGCCCGAACCTGCAGCTGTTCGTGCTCAACGACAGCACCCTCATCTCCTATCTGCAGACGCCCGCCGAAGGGCCCCCGGGCGGGGCGCTCTCGGACGTGCGGGTGATCGTGAGGGACATCTCGGGGAAGTACTCTTGGGACGGGAAGGTCCTCTACGGGCCTCTGGAGGGGCGCCTGGCCGCCGACGGCCGCAAGCCGTCGTTCCTCATTTCTGGGTGGCACCGCCCTCCCGCGTTTGGGCCGCAGAAGGACTTTGCTCAGACGGAGGAGGGAGACGATGCCCTGGACAAATTGCTTGAAAACATCGGCCTCTCGAGTCCTGAATGCCTCCTGTCGTCGCAGCGGAATCTGAACGAGCCTTCCCCGCCCCCCTGCGGCATGAACCGCGAGCAGGAGAGGGAAATCGTCGAGGTCCTTTTGCGCCAGAATGCCCAGGAAGACGAGTACGTGGAGAGGTGCAACTCGGCGTCAGCGCAGAGCCTGAGGGGCCAGGAGCAGCCCTCTCCCGTGGAGCCCCGGGGACCCTTTTATTTCTGCAGGTTGTTGCTCGACGACTTGGGGATGAATTCTTGGGACAGAAGGTAACAGTCGACTCCAGCCTCCAATTATCTGATTGTTTTCTGCGTGTGATTGATTGTGCTTTTTATCAGCTTGGAGTTGGGGAAGTCGACACTGGGAAAGAATTTATTCATTTATTTATTTATTTATCGGTAATTCGAAATGTGCGGCTTATTTTCTGCTGCTGACTTAGTTAGAAATGAACCTGATTGTGCATTATAGACGCAGGTAGGATCCCAAACATCGTATTTTAAGGGATCTCAAACATTTTCTGTGTATTTCTGTGTGCGTAATGACTGCTCTAAGCATTATTGCTCATGCCTTCACAGAAGACATGACTGGCCTGTGTAGCTGACCAGGCTGCAGCCTCACTTACTGTGAGGAAGATTGACGCCACAGCTCTGACGCAAGCCAGTGTGGTGCAGGGATTCAAGAAGTGAAGTGAAATCCAGGAGGAAGTGTAGAGATGGGTTGGAAACTCGATTGGCAAGGTGGTATTTTTAAGGACACAGTTGAGGCAAAGAGATTCACAGCAGAGTTGGCAGTGACAGAACAATCATTGGGTGTCACTGGGTGGAACTGGTGTGGGTGGAATCTCGATCCTTTGCGCCTCTCATGGGGAATAGGTTCTTTCTGTACGCGCCCATCACAAGTCTTTGGTGAACAAGTTGGACCAGGAAAGGTAAACAGGTGGGTGTGTAAATTAATGGGAATGTGAACTGTAGTAATATGATTTTTTTTCTTTATAGGAAAAATTTCCACCTGTTGAAGAAAAATTCAAAGTTACTGAGAGAACTGAAAAATCTGGACTCACGCCAGTGGTATGTGAAAGTGGTATTAGATCTTTGTCCCTGTGTCCCTCTGCTTGTGTTTCCTTGCCAGATACAGGCACAGGGAATGGATATATTTAAAGTAAGCAAATCTGTCTCAAGTGCACTGATGCACTGGCATTCTTCAGTTTCCGCACTATGGTGTTGCAAGTTTAAAACCAGTGTGTTGTAATTATTTTCAGATAATAGGCATTACTCTCCTAAGCTAATCAATCAAGCCTCAGATTCACCCCTTTTCCATACACTCTTACATGCAATGTAAAGGTCAACCAGGTTTTGATATGGAGAAGTGTCTACTTCCCACAAATAGATCAGTCAGGAGCAAGCATAGTACTTGATCTATAACAAGTGCTTACAAGTCTTAAAAGAATTAATTCCTTCCTTAATCTAGCTATTTTTAAAAAACTCATTTAAAAATAGTGCTTTGTTCCTCTTTTATTCCCCTTAGGAATATCATTAGGTATCTCATTAGCGTGGAAAAACCTGGAACCATAGTTCCTCACAGTGCCCTTCATCATGTTTGCTTTACTGGTGTTCACTCTTTTTCTCTGGAGGAACAGAAACCAAGCTTTCTGCGATATCTGCGAGACTGCTGCTGAAGGAATCAGCCACTCCCCCTTTGTCCCCCTCTCCCTCCAATATTAAACAAGCAGTCACCTGGGTTCCTAATTCATCTTTTCAAGTATATGCTGAATTATTCTTTACATCATCATATTAAGTGAAAACATTGGTATTTTGTAATTGTGGCCAATTTGTTGAGTATTAATGCTCTTTAGTTGCATGAGGTACAATTGAATTAGCTCCCTGGGGTGCTGTTGCCATAAAATATGGCTTTTGGAGAGCTGATTGCCGAATTATCTTCCCCTTGATTAAGCGTCACTGAAAATCTCAACTCCTAGATTGTGTGTATTATTGATATATAAGAAGTATCAACTTACTTTATTTTAGAGTATATTTTCTTATAATTTTTGGAGGGGGAATTGCCTGAAACTTTTCAACAGTGAGAAATGTTGATTGTCCCGTGTATTTGCTGTTAGTCTTAAAAACATACTTTGTCCATAAGCTTTTAATTAGGACATTTTTATTTATGTGGGATATCAGTTTATCTCCCTTCTGTCAAGACAGTTCCTCCTTACCATGTGCTAGGAAAAGTGGAGGCTATCTGTGATTTTAGCAGCAAATCTTGCTAAACTGTGGAGATAGCAAGGATGTAAATTATATGGTGAGGCCACATACAAATTATAACGAGCCCCACTTTGAAAATATGAACGCCTCTTGCTTCTAAATAGTAAGGTGAGTGTAAAATCATGTTTCTTCTTTGTTTAACTTTTTAATATGACAGCCTAAGGAAACAGCTATGCCTAATAAAAAAGAAAATGCATCCTAATGAGGAACGGGAAATTGTTGATTTTATGTACCTGTGTTTCTGAATTATCTGATTTTCATTCATTCATTGTGCTGCTTACGGATATGGAGTGCTATTGATAGCGCTAATTATCATTTCAAAACCCTGACTCTAATAAGGCCAGGCACAGCCCTGCATCCTAGCAGGCTCTCAGTGGTGCTAACATTTTGGAGGATGTGAAATTTGATGAATGTTTACAGCTAAAGGTCACCTTTTCTCACACCTACATCAGTCAGGCAGTCACTGGGGCTTAGCTCGCCTGTGTTCTTCTGTTGTGTTAATGAGGACTCAAGGACCTGTGAGCAGTTACAATGTAAAAAGCTTGTACTTTAAGGGGAATTTGAAAAAAAAAAAAAGACCTTCGGATAAACCAGAAATCGGTTTTCTGTATATGAAGTATTTAGAAAAGAGGAAAAATTGAATACTGAGCACTTTTAAATACAGCCAGAATGCTATGGGGGAAAAAATGAATAGCTGTTATTTTTCCTCCTTTAGTTGAAAAACTAGTCTTTCAGGTGTCAGTTTAGCACTTCTGTTATCATACAAGCCTCCTAGTTATTCTAACACTCGGAATAAACTAATCCAAGTCTAGACAGCCAGTATCCCCTGCTGTCACTCAGGAAGAACAAGTTGTCACAATTTGGAGGCTCTGTACAAAATGAGAGCAAACTTCTTACAATCTGAGAGCACAGGGTTTTTACTAGTACATCATTCCATGACCAAACCCACTCTCCTCCTCTCTGTTCCCTCCTAAGAACGACTGGGAAAATGTACTCTCACCACAGCTGTCCTTCGGGTTGTTCACCCTCACCAGAGCAACAGGACAGTGCACTTTGAAAGCCTTCGAAGTGGAAACTGGGGGCTGGAGGAATAGTGCAATGGGTAGGGCAGCTGCTCCACCCATGGCAACCCCAGCATCACTTACGGTCCCCTGGGTCTGAGCAGGAGTGACCCCTGAGCACAGCTGGGTGTGGCCCCAAGACAAAAACAGAACAAAAAGTGGGAAACGATTGGGATTCATTTCGATTAATTTACTTAAAAGACATTTCCAACATAATGGAAAATGTCTTCATAAATGGAAGCTATCTACGTGCCTTACGAGGATTTGATAGGATAAGGTGAGATCCTGCCAAATGACATGAGATTGTTACATGAACCTTCATTCACTTTGTTACAGAAGCACAGGGATGAAAGCATTCGTGCACAAAGGCATGTGATGGTAAATGTTATGTTGTATTTTTTGATGGAAAGACAATGTTCTTTCATTATATTACATATAGAGAGATAACAAAGAAATAAACTAGGCCCTCCCATTGATCGTAGATTTGCTCGAGCGGGCCCAGTAACGTCTCCATTGGAGACTTTGTTGTTACTGTGTCTGGCTTATCGAATACTCTCGGTAGCTTGCCAGGCTCTCCGAGAGGGGCGGAGGAATCGAACTCGGGTCGGCCATGTTGGCCGCTTGTAAGGCGAACGCCCTACCCACTGTGCTATCGCTCCAGCCCATATAGAGAGATAACAAAGAAATAAACTAGATAGAACAAAAATAAACCCAAACAATTCAGGGAGGAGATAGAGAGCTAGGTCAGTGGGTCAGGCCCTGGCATTGCACCAGCTGATTCTGAGTACCACAGGTGGTCCTCTGAGTACTCAGGAGTGGCCTCTGACCACAGTCAGAAGAGCCCTGAGCACTGCTGCATGTCACCCAAGAACTCAAAAAAATTTTTTTTCCTTGAAAAACATCAAAAATTAAAGTGTATAGGAACACAGACATTAGTCCTCAGTACATCTCCAGCACCACCTGAGCACCACAGGAGCCTCCCAGCACCACAGTGTGACCAGACAGATAATCCAAGGAAACTTTGGCAGTTTAAAAGATGAAAAAGAACCAAAAGATAATGACTTAGTGTGCCCTAGTGTATGTTGTTGTTGTTGTTGTTTTGAATTACTGTGAGATACAGTTACAAGCTTTCATGTTTGAGTTACAATCACACAATGATCAAACATCCATCCCTCCACCAGTGCACATTCCCCACCACCAATGGCCCCAGTATACCCCCATTTCTCACCCTCCCCCTGCCTCCATGGCAGACAATTTCCTCCATTCTCTCTCTCTCTACTTTTGGGCATTATGGTTTGCAATAAAGATACTGAGAGGTTATCTCGTTTGGTCCTTTATCTGCTTTCAGCAGACATCTCCCATCCCGAATGATCCCTCCAACCATCATGGACTTAGTGATCCCTTCTCTATCCCAGCTGCCTTCTCCACCCTGCTCATGAAGCAGCTTTCCAACTATGGGGCAGTCTTTCTGGCCCTTATGTCTTCTGTCCTTGAAAGCACATACTTTCATGTCATCACCACACAGCAAGGACTTGTCCCCAGGACCAAAGGGTATAGTCCAAAAACAAAGAAAAAACTACTTTGGAAAAAAATAAATCCTTTTAAATATTTTGTCTCATTTCATGTAAGGTATATGGTAAATATATAAATTCAAGAGCAAAAGTAATAACAGCAGAGGGAAGGGAGGGAAAAAATAAAATGTATAAAATTAAAAATTTCAACACTTTTTTAAAAAAAATCTAGGCTGAGAGATGGTACAGGGATTCATGCTGGCCCATTTGGTTCCTATCTCTGCTTATAGTCCCTGAGCTCTGCCTGAGTGGCTTCAGAACACAGAACTGAAATAGCCACCAAACACCATGAGGTGTGGCATAAACTCCCTTCCCCAAGTTAAAAAGGTTCTTCAAGTTTTAAAAAGCTTCCTTCCAAAGATCGCAGAGAGGAAGAAAAACTTAAATGCTTCCCCACTGGCAGTGAATGCTAATGACAAACGGAGTTCTATCCTCATTATTCTGTCCATCGGTGTATATTTTTGCCCCCTCCCCCCAGCCCCCACTACAGCCTAATAAGCCAAGTTATGAGAGCACTCTCCTTGGATTGTGTTGCAGGTGAGAGAACTGGCTCGCACAAAAAAAAAAAAAAAGTGGGTTCCTATGTGACTTGCAAATGTCCCAGGTCACATGACTCCTTGCCAAGGGTTGACTTCGAAGACTTGGGGAGGAAATAAAAAGATAGTCTGGAGATAAGAGTGCTTCCACTTTTTACCCAGCCCACATTGGTCACTGGGGTAGTCCCAGGACTAGGTTAGGACCAGACAGATCCACTCTGAGCTCCTGTGAAGCGTCAACACTAGCAGCCCATCTGCCTCCCACAGCAGCTCACAGTCAGGCTCAGAGGCTTGATGCTGTGCACCAAGATAGCTGGGCTCCACCTCCACCCAGGATACCCTGAGCTCTATCAGGAGGAATACTGAGCCAGGAGCAGCCCTATAGTGTTAGTTAGTATGGCCCCAAAACAAACAAATAGATGCTACTTATTTCCTCAAAGTGCCTACCTATATCACTTTTTTTTTTATTTTTAATGGCAAAGTATAGAAAATATATCATGGAGAAAATGGATAAGGTTTTACTTGACCAAAGAAGTTTCTTGGACAGCTACTCACCTAGCGGACTGCTTCAGATTAGTGAAAGCACAGATAATATATCCCCTCTACTAAGAAAATACCTAAATGCCTTTTGCTTAGAAGAAAGAAAAAATAAGTCATTTCTGTTTCTCATAAATTCTTAGCATTTTTTTTTCATAGAGTGGGTGTTTTGGACCACACCTGTTGGTACTCAGAACTTATTTCTGGCTCTGTGCTCAGGAATTACTCCTCGGGGTGGGAGCTCAGGGGACCATATGGGAAGCTGGGAATCAAACTACATATGCAAGGGAAGCACCTTATCTCTCTGGCTCAAATCTTGAAATTTCATATAGTTCCAATCAATATCCTTAACTCAAAATGTAACTTTAAAAAAGGAGGTATCAAGTTGCTCTTTTCACAATTAATATCAATTTGGTGTGCTTTCAATTGAAAGTGGAGAAAACTTGCCAAATAGTATGCTCTAACATTCTAGCATGCTTCCATGCCCAGGAGTGCTATTGGGAACGACGTCCTGCTCCACCCCATCTCCTATTTGCTGTGTAGGATATTATGCTTTTCATGTCTTCTTTTGTTTAACATTTTCTTCTCCCTTTCAAACTCCAACCAACCATGGAGGTGATGATTATATATTTTTCTCTTTGGAGTGGTTGAATAGGAGTAAATGAAGTCATGTATAGAAAGTTTAAAGAATTAGAACTGTTTAAACTACTAACAACAGTAACTGGACTCTCCATAAATGTTATTAAACTTTAATTGTATGGATTATACTGGTGATAACGGTACATAAACTTGAAATTATGGAATTCTGACTCCTTTCGATCTGAAATATTTATAGTCGTGAAACACACAAGATTGCAGTGTTTTACATTGCCGAAGGTCAAGAAGACAAATGTTCAATCCTCTCCAATGAAAGAGGAAGCCAAGCATATGAAGACTTCGTTGCGGGACTTGGATGGGAGGTAATTCTTTTCTTTCAGTGGGTGTTAATTGACAAACACAATTTATTAATATATTGAACTAGACTTTTATTATGTAATTTTTACATGTTCTTTCACATATAGCACAGATAGAGCTAGAATTGAAGAATGCATCAAAGTTGGTCTACTAGTTGCTTTTATATAGTACTGTAATAATGACGTTTTGTTTTCCCTTAGCATTTTATCTACTAATTTTTATTGATTAGACAGTTTTCACCTATCCTGAAAAGACAAATATAGGTAGAGAATCTATGGTGTTGGTTACAGAATAGATATTGGAGAAGAAATCAATGGCATGGTGAGAGAAAAAATTAAGTGTGTAGGAAGTAAAAATTTAGAAATAAAATAGCATATAGTAGCTGTCATGGTTTAGCCATCAACCTGTTTACTAAGGTAGATGCATAGTTGATTGATTCACATTTCTTTAAATGTATGTTACTAGTCCCACCTTCAGAGTACCTATATTTATCCACCACTGTACATTAGAACCTTTCCACCTTTTAGTAACACTTATCTGATTCCTCTAACCTCAGTTCTACCACCAGAAAAAAATATTCTCTTATCTAGAGTTTTCAATGCAAAGTAGGACATTAATAATCTATTGAGAGTATTCAGAAGATTACTATCAATAGATTATTGATAAGACATTCATTTATTTTCCATTTCAATTAGAACTGATGTTTTATTGAAAGAGATAGTAGTTTAAAGAAAGACTGATCTAGGGGCTAAGAAGTGAACATTTGAAAAAGCAAAGGGATAGAACAGGTGGAAGGTGTTTGCTGTGGAGGCAGCCTACCCTGTATCAGCTCTAGCACCACGTACGATTGCCTGAGTCCCACCAGAAGTGATTCCTGAGTGCAGAACCAGGAATAAGCCCTGCATACTGCTAGGTATGGCCCAAATCTGTCTCACCTGCACCCCCGCCAAAATGAATTAGAAGTGAACGTCCATGCCTTAATTTGAAAACAACTTGAGACCTATAGACTTTGGCAGTAGAGTAAATTGAAACAACTTTTTTTTTTTTGATTTTTGGGTCACACCTGGCGATGAACAGGGGTTACTCCTGGCTCTGCACTCAGGAATTCCTCCTGGCAGTGCTCAGGGACCATATGGGATGCTGGGAATCAAACCTAGGTTGGCCACATACAAGGCAAACGCCCTACCTACTGTGCTATTGCTCCAGCCCCTGGAACAACCTTTTTGAAAGGCAGTTTGTTTCTCTTAAAACCAGCATCTTATTGAATCTCCCCTTTAAATGTGCTTTCTGGTTTTAACACATCATCACTATTTGAGAAAACAGACCATCCCATAAATCTATGAGTAGGGTATACACATGGACACATATGCAGGCACATGTAGACATATATGTGTGTATATACATAAATGTGTATACATATGTGCAGACATATATGTGTGTAGACATATATGTGTGTAGACATATATATGTGTAGACATTTATGTAAACATGTATGTGTATGCATAAATATGCATATATGTACATACCTTTACACATGTATAGGAGGAAAAAGTTGGGGAAATCTGTACCAAATTTTAGATAGTGTTTGCTCAAATTGGTTGGATTATGAATCACTTTCAGTTTCAATGTTTTTTTAATAGAAATAAACATATGAAATGATTTCAGATTGCCTTCTGCTTAGTGCGTTAGCTCATATTTCATTCTTACGTTTTCTTCTCTGACTGTTTCAGGTGGATCTCTCCACCCACTGTGGGTTCATGGGTGGGCTTCACCGCAACGGCAGCACGGGGCAGACCGCCCCTTACTACGCTACCTCCACCGTGGAGGTTATCTTCCACGTTTCCACCCGTATGCCATCAGACTCAGACGATTCCCTCACTAAGAAGGTAAGCTCTTCTTACGTGCCGTTCTGGACTACTCTGGGCATTTCTTTCTCTTTCTGTAGACACCATGGTTTATAAAGTTGTTCGTAATGCAGTTGTTATGGGCTTTGATATTCGTTGTCAGTCCCACAATCCGAGTTGCCTTCCCTTCACCACTGTCCCCATTTTCCCACCCATCTCCCAAGCCTGCTCTCTTAGTAGGCACACAGTAATTTGTTTTTTATTACTTGTTACAACCAAATGGCTAAAGAAATTATCAACCAAGAATTTAAGTAGAAGAAAATGTTTGAAGATTGTTCTCTCTCACCATGAGGTTGTTAAGCCTTTGTCTGAGGATTTCCTAAGCTGTTTTTCACTGCATTGTTATTTTGTTTGTTGAGTTTAGTTGACTTATATGTTACTTTCCCTTGTAATTTTGCGTGTTCCTACTGGAATTTTAGTACTGTGGAATTTGGAGCTGCTGCACATCTTCCTATGTGGCCAGGTCATGCTGTCCAGAAACTCCAGAGTCTGTAGGACTGTAGTGAGTCTACAGAGATTCTTAGTGAAGCCATGGAGTTAGGCTGTTGGCATGGTTGCAAGCTGCCCTGTTTGTAAAGGAAGACTTTCCTAAAACTGCATGAAAACTGTGAAATTACATGTACCAAGACTTTTTTTTTTCTAGGTGCAGTTGCAGTATCATTCTCAAATTAAAATTCTAGTTATTATAAAGTATTCAGCTTAACACAAACTTGTAAACACACACACCTACACATACACACACACACACACACACACACACACAAACACACATATACCATCATATGAATCTTAAGTTCTGAGGTTAGGATTTAGGAAGAAGAACTTAAATGTTGCTGTTTCTTGATTCTCTTCCTTTACCAAAATAAGGTTTTTGGTCTTCCTTCCAGCCTGGCAGATGTCTTTATGTGTAGTGGCAATATAATGATAGACTCTGAGTATAGGTATATCTCAGACATGTGGGCGATGTCTGTCATATATGTCTTGTGAATCTCTCAGAATGACATGTAGAGTGCATTGTTGCCGAGGCTTCCACCTTGGGCTCTTTCCTCATGCTCCCCTTCAACGTAGGCACCCTGCCAATCTTCTCCAGGCTTCAAAGTGATCTCCTTACCTGACCTGTGTCCTAGTGGACAAAGCCCTGTACTTTCACACCTGTAGGATGTCCACCTCAGGTGACCCCCTGTTAAAAGTGCATAGTACCATTGTGCAAGAGGGATTTTTGTTTGAGAAGGAAGCCTTGATATCTGACCCACTTCTGGGTTTCCAGCTAAGAATGATTCTAACATATGGCCAGATAGAAATACCACTTCCCATCCACTATCTCTCCACAAGTTTGAAAGGAACAGAAGGCAGGACCTGGCTGGGTTGGAGAACAGCTCTCGCAGGTGCTGGCTGTGGAGGGCCCCGGACGTGCGGCTTTAGTGGCCAGTTCAAAGATAGGGACAACAGGACTCAAATATGTGTCGAGCTGTTCACCACCTTGTGTCTCAATTTCCCCATCTATTAAGATTTTAAATAAATAACACAGCCTATGTCTCCAGTTGTGGTGAAGCCTGTATATAATGCTGCGCCATCGCTTGGCGTATGTTGTTCCTCGCCATCAGCCCTTTTCAGTTCCCATTGGTCCAGGTGGTTCCTTTTTCTCCTGCTCATTAGCCAAGTGACTGATAATCGCTGGTGGGCCTCCCAGTAGCCATCACCTGCCTCTTCTCTGCACTTAGACTTTCTCACAAAGGTAGCCACAGATATCTGGGTCACATTCTTGATCTTCTCGTGAGACCTCCGCAGTAGGGTCACAGCACAATCACGAGAACGCTCACAGGGACCCTGCACCCCACATGTGCAGGGAATGTCCAGCTTTTACTCCCTGGCCTGCACATGTGCACGGCTCCCCAGGGACTGTGAGTTTGATCCCTCAGTCATGGAGGAACTACCTTGAGTTTGGATTGCTGCTCTGGCTTCTTTGCTATTAGTAAAAGGATCGCTGCCCTTGATAAATAGATTTTGGGCCAGGTGGGGTTTATGCATCCTTCTTATTCACAGTACCTTGTAAATTGCAGCAACTCTGAAAATGTGGGTATTTTGTGCTTTTCTTTAAACTGGAAGAAATTTTGTTCAAAGATTAATTTACAAAACATTTTTACAAGTATTTCATAAATAAAATAGAATTTTTTTCATAAGAAAGCTAGTTTTTCCTTGACAAAATGGCAGGTTCTAATGTTGCAAGACATTGTCTGCTTTAAGGATTCCCTACTGTAATAATGGAAATTCAGCTGCTACCTTTTGCCAGCTCCAAGACTTAGCATCATTAGTGACAAACTCTCTTTATCAGGATGTCTCACAGCTGGACTGAAAATCAGTCACAGTAACAGCAGCCCACAGTTCCTTGTCTTATTCTAACTAAATTGTCCCTAACAGCTTAAAAATGAGCTACGAAATTCTAAAGTGATTCATGCTCTCTGCTGCCCTTGTCATGGGGGCACTTTTTCAATTCTGCAATCTGGTTGCAACCCCATACTGAACTCTTGATCCTTCACTGCAGAAATTTGTTAGCTCTAGCTAGATTAGATTTTTCACAGCTAATCTAACTGCTGTAGGGGGTTGCAGAGTGGGGACAGAGCTGTGCTATTGGATTTGTCCAATTCATTTGACTCCAGGACTATAATTGCACTTATGTCTTACAAGGCTTTTATAGCCTCAGGCTGGCCAGCCTCATAAAAAACAAATTGGCAGTGATACAGTATGAGTGAAAAGGGATGAAAGGCCCACATTATCAGTCTCCAGGCAGCACTGTTCTGGCAGGAAGTTTCTTGGTTAATTTACAAATAAAACTTAGATTTTAGGATGGGCACACTGTCAGCTGAACAATGGGGATGTCAGGCTGACTGTTACTTAGTAAAAGTAGCAGCCGGCCACTGAGGAGCAGGAATTCTTCAATCAAACAGACGACTCCTTCTGGGGCCAGCTGGCGATGTAATGCAATTAGTTGGGAAAGGAGGTCAGCCTATTAGGTGTGTACCATGACCAGTGTCACCAGTCCTAGCCGCCTGGCAGCAGCAGGCAGAATAGCTCAGGCGGCAGAGAGACTTTCAAGCCCTGTCAGAGTGCGAGGTACCCAGACACTGGTGCTGATTCCCGACATTTCAGAACCTTACATTTGTTCTGGTCTGTAAAGCAGTGCACATTCTGGAGCCTGTTGTGCAGTGGAAGCCTCACTGGCGTGACTGAGAGCTCCCGCCCAAGAGGAGATTTGTCATTGTCCTCCCAGATTACGAGTGAATGAGAACAACTTGACTTGTGACAGGGGAGAAACTCACTGGTGAATTTCTAATTGGCAGATCTCTAGTCTTAACTCTCCAGAACTCACAAGATGATGTCCCCTTAGTGAAGTCCCCTTTAACCTAGGCTGGACATACTGACATTTCTAAAGGAGGCCTTTTTCAATTCGACATGGTTGACAAGTTAGCCAGGTGAATTGTATTTGTTTTGCCTTTTTTTTTGTATTTGTGTGATTGTCATAGGCAGAAGAGAATGCAATTTTGCTTATTAGGAAATTGTTCCTAGGGCCTTAGTTCTGGGTTTTGTAGTTTAGCTAATTAAATGGTGAGGTATGAGGTACATGACATTGAAAGCAGTTTTGGGATAGTGAATCTTGTCATATTACCTTACAAAACTCTTTCTTACATACTAGAATTGCCATACTGGGTGGAGGGTGTGTGGTACTATCCTCCCTTGTGTAATTCTTGAATACAGTTGCAAACAGAATTAGGAGAGATTTAGTTGGTTATGCAATTGAGTAATCTAATTTAGGAAAGGGACAGTAATTGTAAAATTCCAGTAATTATTGTATTACCTCAGAGCTAATGCCTTGAGACTTCTGGATCAAAATGAGCTAGCACATATATTTGGGTTCTGACATTTTATGGTAGCCCCACATTGGAAGGGAATTTAGGAGATAGTTCTTCCCACATTTTTTCCAGTAATAGACCAAGGTGTGCACAGACATACCCTGAAGGCTGACTTTCTTAGGGGACAGGAGCACACTCAGTAGTTCCCAGGGCTTAGTCCTGGCTCTGCACTCAAGGATCACTCCTGACAGGCTAGGAAGACTATCTGGGGTGCCAGAAAAATTAAACCTATGTCAGCCATGTGCAAGGCAAGTGCCCTCCCCACTGAATTATAGCTCCTTCCAGGATGAGTAGTGTAGCTGGTTGCTAAATTGCCTTCTGTTCTAAATTCCTCTGAAGTTTCTCATTGATACTCTTCATGTTTGCCCCACAGCATGCCTTTATTGTGTTGTTGTTGGTGCAGTCTTCTTTGTTTTACTCCAACATGACTTAATTTTAGAAATACATATATATAAATATGTATCTTTAGAAATACAGATACACACACACACACACACACACACACACACATTTAAGCCCTTTATTTTTTTTTTAATTTTTATTAGTGAGACACCATGAGGTACAGTTGTAGACTTACAAATTTTGTGCTTGGGTCTCAATTATACAATGATCAAATACCCATCCCTCCACCAGAGCCCATTTCCCACCACCATGGATCCCAGTATCCCTCCCACCCCCCATCCCACTCTGCCTCTGTGGCAGGGCATTCCCCTTTGTTCTCTCTCTTCTTTGGGGTGTTGTGGTTTGCAAAAGAGGCATTGAGTGGCAATCATGTTTGGTCTATAGTCTACTTTCAGCATGCTTCTCACATCCTGGGAGGATCCTCCCAACACCCTTTATTTGGTGCTCCCTTGTCTATCTGAGCTGCCTTTTCCCCTAGCATGTGTGGCTGGCCTCCAAGCCATGGAGCAAAATTCCTGGTACTAATCTCAGTCATTCTTGTGAAGCCCTTTATTTTTTAAGGAAAAAAAGAAAGGCATTAATTCCATTTGAGTTGGAAATAGAGAAATTTAGAAATATGTTTGATATTACATTGAGAACTCGATATTTTATTTGTAGCTTTTGTTTGCTACCGTTTTAACCTTTATCAGTGAGATAGGGAACAGAAAATAAAAAGATAAAAACAGATTATTAACTTATATGTACCTCAGTTCTATTTGTACCCTGACTCATTTTTTTTTTTGGATTTATCTATTAAATAAACTTTTAAGTGAAAAATCCCTTTTTGTGACTTAGATGGCAATTTTCTGCAGCATGTGACAGAATGAAACCCCCGATTCTCATAAGCATCAAGTAACCTTCATTGTAAGCCTTTATGGCTTTAGGATTTCAATTGTGGCCAACATTTTAGGTTTTATAACATAATTTTTCTTAATCACACCTTTAGGCATGCTCAGAGGTTTCACGTGCAGCATTCCAGCTGCCCCTGTTTGGAGCTGGGAATTGGATTAAGGGGGTCATTGTCTCCAGCAGAATTTGCACTAGAGGAACTGGTGAAGATGACACGAGTTTGATCTGTCTTTGAACTTTCCAGTTGCTTTCATTATAAAATGATAAAATAATCAAAATACAGGATTTGACTATAAGAATACGCATAGCTTTGTAGATAGACTGAGCTCACCAGAGACAGTGGAAATTGCAAAAATAAAAGCTCCAGTCCAGGGTTCCAGGCCCTGTGCTGTGCGTGACCTGGGGCTCCCTAAACTTTCACTCTTCCTCCTGGGATAACAGAGACAAAAAATAGTCTGCATCAGTACTTGTTGCTGCTGAGGAATCCTGAATGTCACCTTAACTTCCTTCAGAGCCTAATGGCGGGGAGGAAGGGGGGAATGCCTGCCATAGAGTAGTCAGGTAGGGCGGGGAGGCTGGAGGGACATTGGGTGAGTAAGTGACATGGTGAAAGGATTGGTGTTGGAACTCAACCAGGAATAGATTTATAACTTTGTAATTTACAGTGATTCAACTTTACCAGAGAGTTAGTGGGAAAATTAAACAAAGCTACATGCGTGAGCCATTGTGCGTGAATTCTTGAGTTCTAATTAAATTCAAATAACATTAATTTCTTGGGCTGGAGTGATAGCACAATGGGTAGGGCGTTTTGCCTTCCATGCAGCCAACTTGACCGACCCGAGTTCGATTCCTCCACCCAGCAAGCTTCTGAGAGTATCTCGCCCGCACAGCAAAGCCTAGCAAGCTACTCGTGATGTATTCTGATATGCCAAACACAGTAACAAGTCTCATAATGTTAGTGGGCCCGCTCGAGCAAATCGATGAACAATGGGGTGACAGTGACTGTGATTAATTTCTTAAACAAAAGTAATTTTCTACATATTAGTCCCTGTACATACGTATTTTAATCACAAGTCAGACATTTGATAGTACATTTGGTGATTATTGTAGTATGGTGAGACATATTATGGTGAGACATATTATTATTATCTATTATGACATCTTATTATCTCATTCCTACTTTGGACAAACTGGCAGGCTGCCGAATGTAGCCTGCCCACATGGCAGAGTCTGGCAAACTCCCCGTGGCGTACCCAATATGCCAAATACCAGTAACAATGATGGGTCTCATTCTCCTAAAGAGCCTTGAATATAATCTCAGGGCTAGGATGAAGGAGACATTACTGGGGCCTGCTCGAGGCAATCGACGATTAACAGGATGATTTGTGATTTGTGTAGTATGGTACCTGTTTTCATACTATTATTTTTCTTTATTTACTTCTTTTTTATTAAGGCACCATGATTTACAAAGTTCTTCATCGTTGGGGTTCAGACACAATTTTTCAACACCAGCCCCACCACCACAGTCAACTTTCCTCCAACATTGTCTCTTGGATATTTATATTAACTCCTTTCTCTGTAACTGAAAAGTGTTGTGAAGCTCTTCTTCAAATGTTAATATGAAGTCGGAGGCTTATGTCATTAATTGCTTAGAAACATATTCAGTAATATTTATATATTAAAAAAAGAGAGAGGTGTTCGTGCAGGAATAAAATTTGATTTAAAAATACTTTTTAAATGCTTATCTCCATCTTGCCATAGTGCCCCGCGGTGCTGTGTGCATTGTCTTGTTAGCAGTGTTTCCTAGCCACATTTTTATGTGTTTGTGCCCTTTTTAGAATCCTTGTAAAACATTGCTGTGGTGATCTTTTTTAGTAGAGAAATATTTTTGCCTCTGCGCATTATAATTCAATTTGTAAGCCACGACCCCTCGTAAACTGCTGTTATCACTCTGATTAATAAAGAGCTGATCTGCTATTGCAGCTCCGACACCTGGGGAATGATGAGGTGCACATCGTCTGGTCGGAGCACTCCCGGGACTACCGCCGGGGGATCATCCCAACAGCCTTTGGAGACGTTTCCATCATCATTTACCCAATGAAGAATCACATGTTCTTTATCACGATAACAAAGAAACCTGAGGTATGTTTATCATGCTACTACACTGTCTCATAGCACTTTTGCCATGAATTACTGTTACCAAAAAACAATGATAAACATATGTTAAAGGGGACTTATTTTTTCCCAACTGACAAATGCCTTGCATTTGTATGTCTTATAGGTGCTACATAAGAGTGAGATATGAATTGTAATTTTCAGTAAAAATTTAGTTACAAGCAAGGAATGCCAAAATGTTACTTAGCCTTTCTCAAAATTATGTTCAAGATATTAATGATTCTTAAATATTTTAAAACTTTCAACTTAAAATAACTGTAATGTTTCATTTGGGTCACATGAATACTAAGAATTGAATGAACTCCATGTTGCATCTCATATTTTGTGACTGACGAGTGTGTAGCATCCGACCTCGCCTGACTGACAGGCACTGCTTGCCGAGCTGCTGTTGTTAGTGGCGGTCAGTTATGAAGGATGGTAGGCATATCCATGCAGAGGCTGACCTCTGTAGCACAGCCCATATGATGATCTTTAACAATTGAAGCACCTTGTCACAGAATCAATTCAGCCATGTCAATTGGTATTGATCATGGGAATGGTTGGAACAATCCAATGGATATGTGCTGGGTCCTAAATTGGCTGTGGCTTCGATCCCTGCCATGCCTTTAGTGGTAGTTTAGCAGTACTTTCTGGAGTGTCTTGTTAATAGCAAGCTTCTTTTTTAAGCATTTTAATTGAAGACTTGATATATTAAGTCACTTTGCAAAGAAATGACTTTCCATGTTTCCATCTGATATTAGGTAATAGTCTTCCTTTTCCTTCCCAGTTATTTTTCTGAGGAACCTAGATCTACTGTCCTGACTACGTTCTGTTTTGAACACTTAAATAATAACTGGGTTGACTGGAATTTATAACCGTATCTAAAATTCAGAATATTCCCTGTTTTTAAGTTTTTAAAATAGATACCAGATTTACCAGATAACCTAACCTAAAGCAATCAAAGTTATAAAGTTAAAAGACCTAAGAAATGAAAAGTACTTCAAACAGATCTGGTCATGGTAGACTCTGTTTTAGTATTAGCTATCATTAATGGTGGTAGTCGTGGTGGGGAGGCCTGGTGATGATGGTGGTGGTTGAATTCATTCTCCTGCTCATCATAATGGCATTGCTATACTTTTCTGTTATAGTCACTGCTTTGAAAAGAAATTAAACAAAGAACCCCAGGTTTGACATTTCTCTAACTGGTAAGAAGCCTGATAGAGAGTTCTTTTTATTCTTTTGCTATCAGGGAGCAAAGATATCCAAAGTTCTTTATTTTAAATACTTGTTTGGCTCTACGGCTGGAGAGTTAGTACAGCAGAGAAGGCACTTGCCTTACACATAGCCAAGTCAGCTTTGATCCCCGGTATTCCATATGGTCCCCCAAGCACTGCCAGGAGTAATTTCTGAGTGCAGAGCCAGAAGTAACCCCTGGGCATTGCTGGGTGTGACCCCAAAATAAAAATAAATTAAGCAAATAAATACTTGTTTAAGTCTCTGTGAAATTTTCACTGTGTGGAAGAAAATGGTTCTTAATACTAAAAATGTGTTGTCTATGCAAAACATAACTTTAACAATTAAAATGAAAATGTTCAATATTAGAAAACCAATAAATTTAGTATCGTATAACTTTCAAAGCTGGAAAATGCATTTTTTTAATATTTAATAAGGATTAACTTGCTATATTGCTTCATTTCAGCATGACCCTCTAAACTGCCATTTAATATCCTAAAAATGTTGTCCTTATTTCTATTGTAATAAAGAATAATAGAGCATTTCAATTCATTTTATAGAGTCAAAGTGATCTTTGTTGAAAAGAGATCTTACAATGTGTAAAAAAAAGTATTTGGATACCTTGAAACATTTTTTAAATATGTATGAGTTTTATAAATTTTAGTCACAAATTCTGACATGAAGTATTGAGTAAATCACTTTCTTACAATTTCAATTTAAAAAGCCTAAAGGAAAGAAGAGAATGAATAATGGCAACTGGAAATTTAGTGTTTTCCCTACATTTAAAGTACAAACGATTACAATGTAATAAAATTAATCCAGACATTTCCAGGGCAAGTGTGGCTGACCTTTTGTTCACCAACCACTGACCCCAGGGTGAATGTGAGAGGCTGTGGAGGGAAAGTCTGTTTGTTTGGCTTCAGTCCCTGGTATTTAAATTGCATTCCCTAATCGAATGAAAAGGCTGTCCTCTATCAGGTTACAGAATCCATGGCAACATTCGGCCTTTTATATCCATAATGTTAGCCTTTTTGTTTGCGTCTAAGTAGAGACACCTGGAGCAATGTTAACATTAACCGATTTAGCATTAATAGCTTCATTATATAAGAATTTCTGATCAGATAGCTGTTACTTTTGTTATATTGCTTCAGCTTGTATTGTTGTCATTTTTTATCTCCCTGCTTGGCAACCGGGCAATGATTTGCAAATTTTTTTTGTCTTGATTAATTAAGCAATATAATTATCAGTAACCGTGATGCAGTCTTTGCTCAACAAAGCTTCTGCGAGAAAACAATGGTAAGTCTGTTAGCATGAATGCATTCCACGCGTCCCAGATGCATGAGGATATTACGGACAATGAGGGGAAAGGCCGCCTGCGAGCGAGGACAAAGGGTGCCACGCAGACTCGACACACTGCACATACCGCCAGGGACATGCTGCGGGCTCCCCGGGACACAGACGCCTCGTTAGATGGCAGCTAGTCGGCAGAGATTAATTCTTAGCCATTTGGCGCAATAATTTACCCATTCCCCAGTCTTTTAACTAGTGTTCCTTATGATGGAAGTAAAAGCTTTGAACTTAAAAGGTTTATTTAACCTTATACTCCCATGGTTCGCTATCAAAATCATTATTTTTGTTCAGACATTATAATAACACAGTTGCTCAAAGTGGAGGAATATTCCTTTTTGGGGAAAGGGTTCTGTACAAGTTTCAAAGACTGAAGTCTAAGGTATTCTTTCAGCACCATATACTTCATGTGACTATACTGTGGCACGGTGGTCTGAGTACATTTATTTTACTAGTCTTTGGGCAGCCACACTTTTCTAAGAATAATTTTAATCCTCCTTTAGGAGGAAAAAAAAAACCCTCCTCACTACACAAAAGTCCTGCTCATTGGATAGAGTCATGCATATTCAAATTGTACTTTCATTCACTCAGCCTCATTAATAGCGTATGTAATAATGTGGGGCTATTTGTAATACAAGCGCACTGGCAGCATTGCTTCCAAGTCCTTTGAAATTTAACATATTTCGCTTTTTCATTCCATACACCTCCCTTAAATATACAAATTATGTGCCTGGCAGAATCTGCCTCCTCTTAATAATGCACAGCATTTGTGAAATGGTATATTGAAGAAGTGTGGCTGCATAAAACCGTCACATCTGAGGGGGGTCTGTTCACTTTTTTGAGCTTTTTATTGGACTTTGAAGAAATAAATAAATAATGATTTTGCCTCACAGTATCATTTCCTTGTTAGGTAATATTTAAAATAAGTCCATTGCCATAAATACTGACCCCATGGTCCTTGGTCATGGGGCTAAACATGCTTTTGTAAGACATCTTTTTTCCCTACTTTTATGACTAAGTCATCCGTCAGGGAAGGTTTGCATTTAGAGCAGAACATAAGTGATTTAAAGAGTTTATTCAGACGCCCAATCTGTTCTGAAGAAAAGTGATTTATAAAACCCCCATATTGTAGTAACTGCCTGTGTAGCTTTCTTTAAGTGATAGAAAATAATGTTGGCGTTTAAGACATTGACTGTTGTGTATTAGTTCGTGTAAGTTTTTGTGGCTTTCACCTTCTGATCTGCAGACTAGTGCCTGGCGTACTGTAGTTTCAGCCTCAACCAGCAGCCGCTGAGAGAGGGTGAGCCTGGAATAGAACGGCCTCCTCACTTCTCCCAGAGTGTCAGTTTTGTGAATGAATGTGGATATCCTCAGAAGTCTACTTAAACTCAGCTCTGGTAGATCGGGGCATGCAGAAAGGGTGCTGAGTCATATTTATTAGAGGCAGGCAGGAAAGAATCCTGCAATAACGGACCCCCAATTTCTCGTGCCTGTGCTACCACCAGTGAATAGATGGCTTAGGAAGGTCCTTCATTGCTTTGAACTTTCGTTTCCATCACTCTTAATTGAAGTTCAGACATTGCGGCAGACATTGGGCTCTTGCTGGATCTTCCTATTCCTCTTGTCCCTGTTTTCTCTAAATTGACCCAGTTTACTAGGGTGCTGGTGAGGTGGTACCTGCCTCCTTGCAGACTCAGCACTTACCGGTGGCGCATGGCGCGTGGTGGGAGTGGGTGCTGCTCTCCTGTACGATGTCTTGCTGCTTAGGACCTCCCCTGGAGGAGGAGCCCAGAAATGCTGGCTGAGGTATGAGAATTCTGAGAGTATTGTCACCAGTGAGACCAGGAGAGCCAGTCAGGACTGTGAAAGGCAGCCTCTCCTGATCCATCGGCCTCAGGGACAGGGTCTGTTTCGTGGTAGCATGGTTGCACAAACTTATTTCTTTTTATTTTAAATTTTCTCTTTTCTTCAATATTTATCTCAGTCCCAAAGAAGCAGTCTTTTGAGATTGATGATTGACTTTTAAAAACTCAGAAATTTTCAGGGAAAGTCAATTGTTAACTTTGACTATATAAAGAATCATTTCCTTTGAAAAGGTATTGTTAAATACTGAGCAACCAGAATTTTCTGAATGATTAACTATTCTATGTTCTGCTCAATAAATTTATTTTATTATTATTTTTAGTAAATTGGAAACTAAAAAGACAGCTACCATCTATACTATGTCAAAATCAAATTTCCTCTGTAATTTATTGCCACTCTGAAAAAATTCCCTGAGTAATTCTCTCTCTCTCTCTCTCTCTCTCTCTCTCACACACACACACACACACACACACACACATACACACACACACTCACATAAATACTCTCCTTTGTCTTAACTTCTTTCTTTTGGCTAGCCTTTCTAA